ATAAACACAATCAGACCTGTAGCATAATGAGCTCTGAAGTTAGACTGACAGCAACTAATTACATTTCCTTCACATATTTGTTATGTGGTCTCAGAATAAGTTACTAAATATCTCTGTATTTGTTTCCTTATCTGTAAAATGGCAATATTAGGGTGGAACTTTTATAGGCAAATGAAGATTAGATGCTATCAGCATAAAAAGGACTATTTTATATATGAGATGTTTTATGTAAGCCACATGGTAACCACAAACTAAAAACCTAGAGTAGAGCCACAAAACATAAAAGGGGAGACTGAGTAAATCACCATGGAAAATGACCACTTTATAAAGGTAGACAGAAAAAGAGGGAAAAAGAAACAATGGAGATACAAAACAACTAGAAGACAAATGATAGGATGGCAGAAGTATGTCTTTACATATCAATAGTCACTCTAAATATAAATGAATTGAATTCACCAATAGAAAGGCACAGAATATTCTGGAGGGTTAAAAAAAAAAAAAGACCCAACTACATGCTGCCTACAGGAAACTCATTTTAGCTCTAAAGACCCACCTAGGCTCAATGTAAAGGGATGGAAAAAGATATTTCATGCAAGTGGAAAACAAAAGGAAAGTGAATGTAGCCATACTTACATCAGACAAAGTAGACTTTATGCTAAAAAAGATAACAAGAGATTCAGGTCATTACATAATGATTAAAAAGTCAATACATCAAGAATATATAACAATAGTAAATATATATGCACCCAACATTACAGCACTGGAATATATTAAACAAAACCTAATGGATATGAAGAGAGAAATAGAAAAAATATAATAATAGTAGGAGATTCCACTACCCCACTGTCAACAATGGGTAGAACATCCAGACAAAATCAAAAGAAATATTGGAATTGAATCATAATCCAGAACAAATGAACTTAATAAACATGTATAGACCATTCTATCAAATCAGCAGAATATTCTTCGGGAGTACACAGGTAACATTCTCGAGGATAGATTGTACAATATGGCACAAAACAAATCTTAGAAGTTTGAAGAACATTGAAATCATATCAATTACCTTTTCTGACCACAATGGAATGAAGTTAGAAATGAAGAAGAGGAAAGCTGGAAAATCTACAAGTATGTGGAAACTAAACAACACACTTCTGAACAACCAATGGGTCAAAGAAGAAATCAAAAGAGACATTTTACAAATATCTCAAAACAAATGAAAATGGAAATGCAATATATCAAAAATTATGTGATGGAGCAAAAGCAATTGAGAAGAAAGTTTATAGTGATAAATGCATATATTAAGAAATTAGAATGATCTCAAATAAACAACCTATATTTATACTTTAGGGAACTTGAAAAAGAAAAAATTAAGCCCACGGTTAGCAGAAGGAAGGAAATAATAAAGATCAGAGTGGAGATAAATAAAATATAAATCAGAAAAACAATACAAAGTGTCAACAAAACTAAATGTCAGTTTTTAAAAAAGATAAACAAAATTTACAAATCTTTAGCTAAACTAAGAAGAAAAAAGAATGAAAACTCAAATAAATAAAATTGGAAATGAAAAAAGACATTACAACTTACGCTACAAAGATACACAGGCTCATAAAAATTGTGTGGCAACAGATTAGATAACCTAGAAGAAATGGATATATTCCTAGGACATACAACCTACCAAACTGAATCATGAAGAAATAGAAAATCTGAGCAGACCAATAATGAGTAAGAAGATTGAATCAGTAATCAAAAGCCAACCAATACAGAGAAGGATAAGACCTGACAGTTTCAATGGCTCATTCTACCAAACATTTAAGGAATTAATGTCAAGCCTTTCAAACTCTTCCAAAAAATAGAAGAGGAAGGAACATTTCCAAACTCATTTCACAAGGCCAGCATACTCTGATACCAAAGCCAGATAAGGATGCTATAACAGAAAAAAACTACTGACCAATATTCCTGGTGAATATAGATATACAAATTCTCAACAAAGTATTAGCAAACCAAATTCAATAGCACATTAAAAGGATCATAAACCATGATCAAGTGGTATTCACCCCTAGGATTAAAGGATGGTTCACAGATCAATACATGTGGCACACCACATTAACTGAATGAAAGATAAAAATCACATGATCATTTCAATAGATGCAGAAATAGCATTTGACAAAATACATTAGCTTTTCATGATAAAAATACTCAACATATTGGGTATAGAAGGAACATACTTCAACATAATAAAAGCCATATATGACAAACCCACAGCCAACATTATACTCAATGGAAAAAAATTGAAAGCTTTTCCTCTAAGGCCAGGAACAAGACAAAGGTGCCCATTCTCACTTATTCAACAAAGCACTGGAAGTCCTAGCCAGAGCAATTGATCAAGAAAATAAAATAAAAGGCATCCAAATGAAAAAGGAAAAAGGAAAATTGTCTTGTATGCAGATGATGTAATTTTTTATATGGTAAATAAATTTACTACACCAAAAAACTAATCAATGAACTCAGTAAAGTTGCAGGATACAAGATCAACATACAGAAATCAGTTGCATTTCTGTACACTAACAACATTATATCTGAGAATGAAATAAAGAAAATAATCCCATTCACAAGAGCATCAAAAAATAGGAATAAATTTAACCCAAAAGACGAAAGATCTCTACACTGAAAACTATGACTTTGATTTAAAAAAAATCAAGAAAACACAAACAAATGGAAAAATATCCCATGTTTATGGATCAGAATTAATATCGTTAAATTGCAAATACTACTCAAAGCCATCTATGGCATCAACACAAACTCTATCAAAATTCCAACAACACCTTTCTCAGAAATAGAAGAAAAAAAACTTAAAATTTGTATGGAATCACCAAATTCTCTGAATAGCCATAGTAATTCTGAGGAAGAACAAACCTGGAGGCATCACACAAAGCTATAGGGAATAAAATCAGACACAAAGACCAATGGAAACAAATTGACAGCCCAGAAATAAACCCTCACATACATGGCCAACTAATATTTGACAGGGATCCAAGGATACTCAATGGGGAAAAAAAGTCTCTTCAATAAGTGGTTCTGGAAAACTGGTTAGTCACATGAATGAAATGGGACCCCTATCCTACACCACACGTCAAAATTAACTTGAAATGGATAAAAGACTTAAACATAAAAACTAAAACCATAAAACTCCTAGGAGAGGGTGCCTGGGTGGCTCAGTTGGTTAAGCGACTGCCTTCGGCTCAGGTCATGATCCTGGAGTCCCAGGATCGAGTCCC